AGATGGCACAGCCTCAGTGCTAATTAACAGTGATGTTGCTGTAACAACAGTCAGATGTTGCGCCGTATAAAACTAATTGCTTCCGTCTGGAAAAGCCCGAACGCTCTCGTGTGAGACGATACCCAGAGGCGTGGAGGACACACGAAGAAGCATACGTTGGTTGACAGGGCATCGCGGGCCACGCCGTGTCTAACGACCTATTCACTCCACCGACGCCGGCCCCTGCACGCCGTTGCCTTGCTATGGCGAGGACATGGGATAGGTTCGCCTCGCAGGTGACCGGTTGGCTCATACGTTGCGAGACGCTGAGCTGGCACCGCCGAAAGCCTGGGTTCGAATCCAGTATCCACGTGTGGTCGACCACTGTGATGAAGCTGGGCTGTGTTTGTGTAGTGAGTTGATGGTCTCAACCCGGTCACCGACTCCTGCGCACACAAACCCCGTCACATTACATTTGTTTCCGCACTTAATTGGGCTAAATTCGAGCTCTAAAAATTTAAAATTTTTGTTCTCTCATGCCACTGTCTCTACTCAGTGGACGAACGGGTGGGAGAGTGATGCCCTCCGTGCTATGTGGACCAGGGGTCACTAGGACGGATCTCAGAGGTAGCTCTATGATATCCGCTTCCTGTGCCGTTCTCTAACATGGAGGGTCGCACTGCTTTCGAAGAGTTCAAAATTGATTATCCGCGTTACGATGAAGCTGGGGAAATATTAAAACATAATAAATAAATACCTTCGTCTGCTCTTTCGTGCCATTTAATTAGATCGAAGTGCCTTCCCCATTATTTTGATTGATTCATTGCCCAGTCGTGGCCGTTTAAGCATCGTCAAACGAGAGACGTTTACGTGGCACCGTTCGCTCGCTCGAATTCTGAAGTGCATGGCTAAGCTACGGAAATCACATTTAAAAGCGGCGGCTATTTTTGTAAACGAAGCACTTAGGCTTGATCCCAGGACAGATCGGCGATTTAATAGCGTGCATTGTTCAGACATTCACTCGTCGCGTTCGTATCTGAAACAGCGGCAATAACGCTGGACGGCGCGACTATTTTACGCACGGTTCCCGCGCCACCATGTCACGCTGACTCAGAATCTCCACGCTTTGCCCGGACAGACGGATCAGTGGGAGCTTTGCGTATAAGTGGCGCGTGGCGCGCAACGCTTCCCTCGCGTGCACTCAAGAGCCGTGACCTCTGCCCCGAGACCCGCACGCGCCCCATCCCACCCCAGACCTCTGTGCGCTGATATGTAAATGAAGAGTGCGGTGGTTAGGGGCACTGCGTCCCGAGTTGAATGTCTGTCCACCACGACGAGTGATATCTCGGACCGGTCATTGGTACCTCGCCCTTCACCGACCTGCAATGACCGGCGTGGTGAAATATGATAAAATAATTCGCAATGACCGATTGTAGTATGCAAAGGTCTTCATCCAGCACCGACTGGACACAAGGCTGTGTTGTTGTTGTTGTTGTTATAGTCTGCCATGCTCGTACTCTATATAATTTGACATTGCGACGATCAGACCTTCCTTATTCGTTTTTTTGTTTAATAAGAGGTCCACATGCAAGTCTCGCAAAAATAAAATAACTATCGTCTCTCGTAAACACAATCAACCACACCGCACCCCAACCGCCGCCGCCGCCACCACCACCACCAATGGCTCCCCTTTTCGCTGATTCCGCGATGGTTGTTTTGTGGAGTTTTTTTTTGTTAGGGGTTCGGCCAATTTAGCGGAGCGTGATGAACGGTGCTAATTCTTATCAACAACATCTTGGTAAATTACCCTCCCCCTTCCACCTCCGTCGTTTGAGAGAACAATTGCTCAAAGCCCGTGAAGATTGATCGCGGAGGCCGCGCGTTCTAGCGGCGACTTGCTGCTGGACCGAGAGACAGAAACGGGAACGCGTGGATGAGACAACACACGCATGGCAGAGACACCACTCAAATAATGATTAAATAAAAGTGAGTGGACCTGGGCAGCGCACGTTGGAGCTACGACGGACGATGGCCAACGGTCAAGAATAATGCCAGCCAAGGGATGGAACGCGTCCAAGGGGCACGTCGACCGCGGAGATGGAGCGATGCAAATGTGCTCGCGTGCTTGTGTTCGGCGGACAAATTATTCGCAGGATCGCGAGAGGTGTTGACGTCTTGCAGAGGCCTTCATCCAGCAGTGGATGGACCACGCCTGTTGGTGATGACGATCAAGTCGAAGGCCAAGTTGGCCTTGTATAGACACGAGAGCGTGCGGCGAAGCAAGCTGTCAGATGGCCTCGTCACGGGTGGAACTCGGCGCGGTGAATCCGGTAGGGCATGCTCTGGCTCCCGCCTGACTGCGGTGGTGCGTTGCCTGGGCGCAACGTCAACTAATGGGCGGATCGATGGCCACAGGAAGCCTGACTGCGCTGCGCACGAGGGCCCCGCGGACCTGGAATCGGAGCCAGCGGCTCGCCCCCCTCCATACTGAGCCGCGCGCCGCGATACAGACGGCGCGCGGTGGGGGCCGGAGTGGGTCCGACTGCCCGAGCATGTGGGAACTCGGTGTTGTACCACGGCTGTGTTGGCACGATAAAGAAGCTCCCAGCGACGTGCAGCGAAACGTCGGGCATCGCGGCGAAGGACGCCCGCGGTACGACCTGAGAGCACATCGGAGAGTTTGGGCAGAAAAAGCGCAACAACTCACGCCAGCGGCCAGTTTCATTTTCACGGAAATCGCTCCGAGCTGTCGGAGTTGCTCTCCTCCAGGCGCCGTCGCTGGCTCGCAGCGTGATTCACCGATGGGTTTCGATCGCCCGCAGTCCCAAAGCCGGGTCCTCCTCCTCCCTCCTTCTCCTCCCTTCTCCTCCTCCCTCCTCCTTCTCCCTTCTCCCTCATCCTCCTCCCTCCTCATCCTCCCTTCTCCCCCACCTCCTCCTCCTTCCTCCTCCTCCTCCCCTCCCTCCTCCTCTCTTCTCCTCCTTCTCCTCCTCCCTCATCCTCCTTCCTCCTCATCCTCCCTTCTCCCCCCTCCTCCCTCCTCCTCCCTCCTCCTCCCGCCTCCTTCCTCCTCCTCCCGCCTCCTCCCTCCTCCCCTCCTCCTCCCTCCTCCTCCCCCCTCCTCCTCCTCCTGCTCACCCAAGCGACCAGTTGTCCCAACCAAACGCCCTCGAGGCCATCGCGCAACATAGCCGCCTGCAGCTGCTTTGTCCACATCTGAGCGAGTGGACGTGCAAATTGAATAAAAATAAACCAGCGATTGCAACAACTAATTCACAGTTGGAAATTGTGCGCCGTATAATAATAAAACACGTGGCGACGAATCGCCAAGCGGATCGGTGCTTACAAGTGTCAGTCTCCACTGTAAGCAATCGGTTGCGCAACTCCTCGCAACTGGTTGCAGAAACGCCCTCGTATGTGTATTTTTTTTTTATCCGAGTCCGATTCTGTCGCATGCAACTTGTTGCTTATTTAAACGAACACAACAGTTGACGCAATTGCTCTGACGATGCATGTAATTAATGAGTTGTTACTTGACAGTGCCCCTGCTGCTTCCAGCAAGAGGAGGGGGCCTCCTCACGGCTCCTCACGGCTACCAATTACCAATTCTCACCCGTGCATGTTCTCCCCGGTTAATCATTCAATTTTAATAATAAAAAAACATGTAAATCACTTTCTTTTGAGGCTTCAAAAATAAAAATAAAACACCCGTAAAGTCGCTTTCCAATTAATAGCGCCAATTAGATATCCGCGCACAGAGAGGACGCCATTGGCCGAGCGTCTCTCAATGCTGGCGCGAGATAATGACGCGCGCGCCTGTTAATTACACGCGACTAATTGGTGTCGTCTTATTACACGGCTAACTACTGCCAGCCCTGATGTTGCTCAGATTAATGAGCTGAGAGAACGAAAAGCAAAAACACGATTAATCTTGAAAGAAGGTCAGGGCTCTTGGATGGGAGACGTGAAAAAAGGATCCAACTTTAATATTTACCTCCGATGTTTTTCAGATGTGTGCGTTTGTTTTCCAACGGCCTGGGGGCTGGAGGGGCTGGGGTGGCAGGTTGCTCTGTGGGCCCCTTCCACATGGGAAAGAGGGCGGTGGGCACCCCCGGCCGGGGGGGGGGGGGGGCACGACCGCCCCGGGGCGATCGGTCCCGGCGACCCCAATCGATCTCTGGCAATCATCGCGCGGCTGCTCTGTCCACATCTGCGCGGAGCAGAACCTCGATTATTGAGACAGTTTTTTTGCCCAACGAGGAAATCGGACGGCGCATTCCGGGATGGCGTTGACCGATCACAGCTCCCGCCAATACGAAGCTCGCAATGGAATGCGTCCCTCCGAGTCGACCGAGCAGAGTCCGCAATCCGCGGTGAGCAAGCTGTTGCGCAACCACTTGCGGGGACGTCCACGTGCAATAGATTCAGTTGCGTGCAACCGAGTTGAGTGCAAACTGATTTCCCAGGTGTGCAACCCGGGTTCCGGGACCAGCGTTGCTCTTGGAGCAGCTGTTGCCCCCGAGAGCAGAGTCGTGCCTGCTTCGCTGCCTTCTCACGTGGCACGGCGCCGAGCGGCTCGGCTGCCGAGCGGCTCGGCTGCCTTTCCAAATCGCAGTCGCGTGAGCGAGTGTTGCCAACTAGCGACAAGAATTCGTGAAGTCGGACTTGTTCGACGAATGAACAAAAATGTCACCGAACGATCGACGAATTGTTAGACGCACTGCGGAGTCGGCTCTGAAATCGGACTCATGGGTCGGTCTCAGAAAGCCGTTCGGGGCATGTCGCTGGCAACATGTTGTCTCTCGGGAAATCGCTAAAATCGCTAGATCTTGTGACAAACTCGCAGAGTTGGCAACACTGGCGACAGTGCGTCATGCGTGTGCTATGTATATATGTATAATATGTGCTCTCTAATAGCACCTTAGCCCAACAGTTAGTTAAAGGCCTATAGGGGGGGATCGTTGTCTTCGTGTGTGTGTGTGCATGTTACGCGTGGCACCGGTGGCAATAATGACGGAGAGAAGTATTTACATCGAGTTTACTTCACTTTGTACACCAAGGAAGTTACCACCATCGCTCCAAAAGAACCAACATTCAAGCACTGACCGCACACGTGAACTGATTAATCCACTTTTAAAAAGCACCATATGTACACCTGGCCCCGTGTTGACATAATGTACACAGCAGTGGGTCCACATCTCTTTACCGAAACACAATAGGGTCAATTGAATGACTCGCACATTGTACGTTCGCGGGAGGAGTATACAAAACGAAATCACAGCCGCTCCTTCCCCTCCTCTTGCCAGTTGATAAATATATAGCACTTGAGTAAACTGTAAGATTGAAAATATAAATTAAGTAGTCGATCAACTCATCCCATTTAGCGATGCTCGTAGTGAGGCTGAAAAGCAAGTAGCGGGCTGCCTCCGGGAATCACACAAATAGAACGTTAAGGGGCATCAACGGTCCCAAGCTCACCAACCCCCCACCCACCCCCCTATCCACCAGGCAAGGAGTCGCCGCTTGCGAACGACGAGCGTGACATCGGAATGAATCCACACACACAAAAAAAACATCGACCGTTAATTACAACCGCTGTGTTTATATGCAGGCCGTTGTACATTGCCAACAAATTTTGCATTTTTTTTTAAATCATCATCGTCGTTATCATCATCGTCGTCGTCGTTATCATTTTATTTGCATTCTCTTGTCGAGGAAACTGCTTAGGCCGATGTGCTGCCCGGCCAAGCGCAGAGCCGCCCTCTTTGCGCGCTGGTGCTCCAAAGGACTCGGGCTCGCTCTGCGCGGCTCCGCGTATTGCACAGAAGAAGAAGGAGGAGGAGGCGCTGGCACGGAAACTCGTGGGCGGTGGACAGTGGAGTGCCAGCGCAGGCTACAGGAGCCACCTCCACCTCGAGTCGCTCGCTAGTCACTCTTGCATACCGTCGCGCCCACGGGCAAATCATACATCTGCTGCTCTGTAAACGGGGTTATTCGCGGGTCGCTGCCAATACCCACTCCCCGACGCGCCGAGGTTGATGCGATGGCCGGAACGGGGCGCGTTGACGCTGGGTGGGTGGGGCGACTCATGGCCAGACACGCCGCACGCTCTCCGGGGTAAAGGCGCTTCGTAGTTGGTGCATGCTTTAAAAAAAAATCTGAGCGAGCCACTGAAGCCTTAAATACTTTTACAATATATTTTATCTTTTTTTGTTTTGCTTTATTTAAATCTCTGGTTACATTTGCTGTCGCAGTGTCCTTCCTGTGCTCTTGTTATCTCCGCTGACGTATTCCCAAAAGCGGGGGGGGGGGAGGTTCGTCCATCACTCGCCGCGGTCGTTTTTTTTGCGAGCGCCGCTTCCCCGCGCTCATACAGTGCTCTCGAGGATCCAGTCGGAGCTGCTGAAGATGGCTTTGCGTCCGGACAACTTCCCGTCCTCAACGCTGGGCACCATCCCGTTGACGGACATGCTTCGCTTGGTCCACATGCCGCCCGCCCGTCGGGGCTGCCCCGCGCCGCTCAGCCCGAGCGAGGGGACTCCGTGGGGGAAGCTGCCGCCGTCGAACGACAGGCTGCGCGTCGCCCTGCGCCCGACCCCGCGCGGCCACACCGCAGGCGTCGAGCTGTCCGCCGGAGGAGAAACGTCCCCCGAGCGCTGCGGCATCGACGCTACGGACCGCCGGTGCGCTGCGAGCCGTCGTGGCAGCGTGGCGCGTTCCGTCGCAGCAGCAGCAGCCGGCGGCGGCGGCGACTCGGCCCCCAGATCGACGCCGAGCCGCGCGGTGCGTGGCGCGCGGGGCAGCGTGGCCGGCTTCACGTCGGACGCTGGGTCGGGCGCTTTGGCGAGCTTCAGCTGGTTCAGCTCACGCACCACGTCGCCGTAGCTGGCCTGCACCGGCAGCCCCGCGGGGGCCGCCGCTCCGCCGTTGTTGCCGTTGCTGTTGCTGCTGTTGCTGTTGGGGTGGCTCGCGGCCACGGCGGTCGCGGCGGAGTAGCCGTCGGCCGGGCCGGCGGCGCCCGAGGTGCCGCCGGCCGCGGTCCCCCCCGCGCCGTTCGCCCGGCTCGACGTCTTGGTGGTGCCGTCGTTGGCGGCGCAGGCTTTGTAGCCGATGACGAGGATGACGGTGAAGACGAGCAGGCAGGCAACGATGATGCCTCCGATGATGATGACCATGGTGCCTCCGAGGAGCTGGCCCGGCATGACGGCGCCGTCGTTGGCCATGGAGGATGAGATGGAGGAGGAGGAGGAGCAGAGCGAGGAGTCGCCGTCGCCGGTCTCCTCCGTCACGAAGTCGACGCAGCCCAGCAGGCGCGTGGCGGCCACCGAGGGCACGATGGTGCCGTCGTAGTAGATGGCGAGCACGCACACCTGGTACCCGACGCCCGGCAGCAGCCCCGTGATGAGGCAGGAGCTGCTCCCCGGAGACATCATCCTGCAGGGTCGGGGGTCACGCACGCGCGTGCACACACACACACACGCACGCGCACACATACACGTGCACACACACACACACGCACGTGCACACACACACACGCACGTGCACACACACGCACGCGAGATGGCCGCCGTCATCAATACCGTAGTCGTTACTGCTTTAATGGCAGGGGCGCTGCCACGGCAGTGTCACGCTTTGAGCATTCGAATTGCAATCCAGAGGTCGCCGGTTCTCCTCTTTCCACCCATAAGAATAGCGGGGTATGTTCACAGTTAGTCGATTGCCAGGTCGTGTGTAGCGGGGTAAAGCGTGGCTACTCCCACCTCTTCCAACACGTCTATCCAGCATGCAAGATGCGACGCATTTTTCCCTTTAAGAGCTTTCTAGAGCTCCCTCTAACGGTGCCTCTTCCTCCAGGAGTGACGTGAACGAGCAATCGCAGTGCTGCGCCTTTGCCCTAACTTTATAGAACGACGGCGATAAGACGACACGCTCGCAATGTCGACACCAGAACCGCTGGGTATTGTCATCGCGCACACGCAGACACAATGTGTTCCTGCTGGGGAGATAAGTGCAGGGTGGGAAATACTGGGTCCGGAAACACCATTACATTTAAACATCGCAGCGGCACGGCTGCCGGGAGCGCAGGGTGTGTGTGTGTGGGGGGGGGGGAGGGTGGTGGTGCAGGTTTGGCAAATCTTGACATTAATCTAAATGAGAAGCTGATGGAGGCCGAGGCGTGATTGACGGGTGAGTCGCGGGCCGCGCGCACGCGCGCGCGCGCTCTCCGCGCCGAAAAGAGAGAGAGGCGCGCGATCCGCGCACGCAATTTGTGTTGTTACTTAGAGGAGAGCAGTAAAGCCGCACGTTTGTGCATCGCCGCCGCGGCGGTGACGGTCATCAGGTTTGCGTTTCGGAGCGGAGGCATTACCCCCCGCGCCGCGGAGAAATAGCCGCGGATCGCTGCCCGCATGAGCGATGACGGTGGCGAGGAGGGCCCCCTCGCTGACGGCTCCGCGGGGGCAGGAAAATGGGGTGGAGAGGGGTGGGGAAATTGCCGCAGTAGTCACAATTTTTCCGGCAATTCATTATCGCGCGCGCGCGTTCATTTCCGAGCGAACGTGCTCAGGGCGACCGGAGCCGATCGTCAGAACGGCTTTCTCCGATTTGGCTCGAGGCTTCTCGAGACGCTGCTCCCCCCCCCCCCCGCCCGTGCCCCTCCCCACCATTGCGCGGTGTCATGTGCGACGCCGCCAGTAAGTCATGTATTTATTGTATCTGCTGTTAACCGAGCAAAAAAGAGTGACAACAACAACAACAACAACAAAATCCTAACCAAAACAACAACAAAAATCCGCCATCAGATTCTCACTTTCATGGGTGGGTTTTTTTTTGCTGTTTGCAGCAAAAAAAGCGCGATGTCCTCGCCACGGGGAGCGGATTGTTGCAACTGAGCGAGCGCACGCCTCGCGCGCGCACGGAGTTGCAGTCGCCGCTCTCCGTTGCACAACGTGGCCACGTAAGCAAGGCCTCGACGCTCGCTTTTCTTATCGGCTGGTGTCAGCAAAAATCGCAATAAACAAATACTGCCCCTTCTCAAATATTTAAACAGTCTTTTACTTCCCGTCGTAATGCCATCGGCAAGCGGAATTCTGCTGCCGCGGCTGTTTGTCGGCTCGCGAGAGCGGAGTGCAGCGCATCATCAATTCCAATGAAGCGTCCCACGCAGATGATGATGAAGTCTCAACCATGAAACAGCGACGGTCACTCACCCTGTAAACCACAACGTCGTTTGCAGAATCACTTGCGGTTAACTTTCAATGTTGGAAAATTTGGACAGTGAAGCTGGCACACACCGGCCTGCTCTTTTTAAATGGGTTTTTTTGTTGTTGTTTTCGACGTTGACACTGCGAATAAGACGGCGCAGTATTAACCAGGGCGACCGACTCAGCTCGATCGCGAGACTGACGGGCGACAACCTCGACACGGCTCGGCCACGTTTCTCTCACCACCGGGGCAACGTGAAACCTAATCATCTGTAAACCATTCTCTTGAGTAGGCCGGACTAACATTATTTGTTAACGCGATTAAAATAAAATGAAAACGCAAATGAGGTTGCAGAAAATAAACTTTGACACTTTACGAGAGGCACCGTACACATAATAGGAAAATAATTATGATTACCATCACTCACACACCAACATTACATTCTCGTGTCGTAAACCCTGACACCAATGCACTTATTCTATTAGCACATAACTACACCCTTCGCAATACAATTAACGTCAGATTGAGGTGGGTCCCTGGTTCGGCAAACCGATGAACCCGGCGATCCGAGCTCTATCCCCAGGCACGGCTAACATCAGTGGCGAGTGGTATGTGAATCTGTGTGTGGCGCGACCCAACGCCAATACTCACCTCTCCTGACCGTGTTTTCCCGTTTCTCCAAATCCTATTCCATCATCTACGTCTCTTCTCAAGTCGCTCTCCCGTTCCTTTCCCTGTCCCCACATCTTACATAAGACCACACCGTACATCATCCCACACCGTACATCATCCCACACCTTACATCATCCCACACCTTAAATAATACCACACCGTACATCATCCCACACCTTACATAATACCACACCGTACATCATCCCACACCTTACATCATCCCACACATTACATCATCCCACACCTTATATCATCCCACACCTTACATAATACCACACCTTATATAATACCACACCTTACATCATGCCACACCTTATATCATCCCACACCTTACATAATACCACACCTTACATCATCCCACACCTGACATCATCCCACACCTTACATCATCCCACACCTTAGATCATCCCACACCTTACATCATCCCACACCTTACATCATCCCACACCTTACATAATACCACACCGTACATCATCCCACACCTTACATCATCCCACACCTTACATAATCCCACACCTTACATCATCCCACACCTTAGATCATCCCACACCTTACATCATCCCACACCTTACATCATCGCACACCTTACATCATCCCACACCTTACATCATCCCACACCTTACATCATCCCACACCTGACATCATCCCACACCTTACATCATCCCACACCTTACATCATCCCACACCTTACATCATCCCACACCTCACATCATCCCACACCTTACATCATCTATTCTACTCCCCCCTTCCCGTGGTGGGGCCGCGGGTCCGAAGTTCATCGTAATTTTAGTTTCTCAATGTTCCACAACAATAAATAATACGATTGCATTATAATGATAGATGGCTATGGCAGTTTTACTGCTCTGATCTCAAACCCTTCTGAAGGCCCTGTGTATTTATACATCGTATACAGTATAAAGCATCCCGATTACAACCGATGGATGTCAAATTGCGTAACGCCACGCAGACGCCTCCTCTTTCATCGGACGGGGCCTGGCTTGAAGGAGCAAGCACAACGCATCGAGAACCCTGCCATTGTGAACGCAATGCACGTGGCATCAGTGGCCTTGCAGGAATTCGACCGCGGCTCTCGATGCGAGTCGGTAATGAGAACTCCCTCATCCAGAAAACTATCATCGAGTCTCGAGACTCGTCCTCAGGAGGTTCCTGCCAAGCTTGACGCAGGACGGAGGCGATCTTGCTGCTATGCGCAATCCCAATTGAGTCATTTGCAGGTAATTGTTCAGCGTTGGGATGGTTTGGCCCATGCGGTGATATTGTGTTGGGGGTTTTATGTTCGCTATGGGAGGAAAATGTAGAAGCCGGATAAAATTCATGCAGAAAAGTAGGGAACATACAAACCCCATGCAAAGTGGCCCGCTTCGGGAATCTAACCCAGGAAACTTCTTGCTGTGAGGCACAAATGTTACTACTGGCCCACCCTGCCGCGCAGCTGCATATATCTAACGCTTAAATTGAGCAATCTTTGGAAGAACGTTAATCAACCAGGTAGGGTGTTGACTGTTATGTTAGCCGACTCTCTGTGTTGTATTGCATTATATTTCTAAGTTTACTAGGTTTGTTTTCTCTTTCATTTGTACCTGATGATGATTGCTCGTGTTGCAATCGAAACGTCGTATGCTATGATTTAATTTTATTTTTTCTCTTTCTACGTGACTTTACCGAAATAACCAAAGGGTAATTCCTGCAGTCACGAAAGCGCCAAATCAAGTTTGCATATAAGGAGATAAATCCCCGCACAGCTCGGTTCAATAATCTTTGGCTATACTGCCATCTCCAGAACATTTCGCGAGTTAATGCCCACAGCACTCGAGATCTCAACCTAAGCACGAGCCAGTCCCAAATCGTGCTTAGCTTCCGCGATACGATAAGATCGGGCGCAACCAGAGGTGATGCGGTCGTGGGCTGTTGCACAGCGCTAGCGCTCAGTGATAGTGGTGGTGATAAGAGAGGCGGGGATGGAGGTGGAAATGTGAGGAGCGCAACCAATTGAAGGCATCACGACTCTCAGGTAGAGGAGGAGGGCCTTCAGCCTGGACTTTAGAAGAGGAAAGGACGTCACCAGTGCAGATGAACAGGAGGGTGGGGTGGGGGGGGGGAAACTCTAGATGGCAGGGTCATCGACAAGTAATGAGCTCTTGCGGGTTAGTGATTTGACCACGGGCTCTGTCAACGGGGCCGTGGTTTGCTGGAGGAGAGTGCAGCGGTTCAGATCGATGACAGAGAGAGGGGAGAGGAGTAGCGGAGGCCTCTCTCTTCTCTCTCTCCGGGGTAGATCTTTTGCAATTTTCTAGAGGGCACGGGCGCAGCCAATCGCGAGCGCGCGCGCATTATTCACGTCGAGTAACCTGGTGGGGGAGGGCAGGCGGAGCGGGGGAAGAAGTTAAATTAGCCTCCTGCGTTAAAAGGGATCTGCTGAGCTTTGCATAAATTACAGCACTGGAAGACGCGCAGTCACACCACTGAGAATTCAATTCAGCATTGAAAATAAAAAGAGAAAATCCATTAATCGCAGCGGCTTTACCTGAGCTCCCTCT